TCTCTCTCTCTCTGTGTCTCTCTCTCTGTGTCTCTCTCACCCCGTGTCTCTCTCTCCCCGTCTCTCTCTCCCCGTGTCTCTCTCTGTGTCTCTGTGTGTCTCTGTGTCTCTCTCTCTGTCTCTCTCTGCGTCTCTCTGTGTCTCTCTGTGTCTCTGTCTCTCTCTGTGTGTCTGTGTCTCTCTGTGTCTCTGTGTCTCTCTGTGTGTCTGCGTGTCTATGTGTCTCTGTGTCTCTCTGTGTCTCTGTGTCTCTCTGTGTCTCTGTGTGTCTCTGTGTCTCTATGTGTCTCTCTGTGTCTCTCTGTCTCTGTGTGTGTCTGTGTCTCTGTATCTCTGTGTCTCTCTGTGTGTCTCTGTGTGTCTCTGTATCTCTCTGTGTGTCTCTGTATCTCTCTCTGTGTCTCTCTGTGTGTCTCTGTGTCTCTCTCTGTGTCTCTGTATCTCTCTCTGTGTCTCTGTATCTCTCTCTGTGTCTCTGTGTGTCTCTATGTCTGTCCCTGTGTCTCCGCGTGTGTCTCTGTGTGTGTCTCTGTGTCTCTCTCTGTCTCTCTCTGTGTCTCTGTATCTCTCTCTGTGTCTCTGTGTCTCTCTGTCTGTGTCTCCGCGTGTGTCTCTGTGTGTGTCTCTGTGTCTCTCTCTGTCTCTCTCTGTGTCTCTGTATCTCTCTCTGTGTCTCTGTATCTCTCTCTGTGTCTCTCTCTGTGTCTCTGTGTGTCTCTCTGTGTCTCTGTGTGTCTCTGTCTCTCTCTGTGTCTCTGTATCTCTCTCTGTGTCTCTGTGTCTCTGTATCTCTCTCTGTGTCTCTGTATCTCTCTCTCTGTCTCTCTCTGTGTCTCTGTGTGTGTCTCTGTGTGTCTCTGTCTCTCTCTGTGTCTCTGTATCTCTCTCTGTGTCTCTGTGTGTCTCTCTGTGTCTGTGTCTCTGCGTGTGTCTCTGTGTGTGTCTCTGTATCTCTCTCTGTGTCTCTGTGTGTCTCTTTGTGTCTGTGTCTCCGTGTGTGTCTCTCTGTGTGTCTCTGTATCTCTCTCTGTGTCTCTGTGTCTCTGAGTGTCTCTCTGTGTCTCTGTATCTCTCTCTGTGTCTCTGTATCTCTCTCTGTGTCTCTGTGTGTCTCTATGTCTGTCCCTGTGTCTCCGTGTGTGTCTCTGTGTGTGTGTCTGTGTCTCTCTCTGTCTCTCTCTCTGTGTCTCTGTATCTCTCTCTGTGTCTCTGTGTGTCTCTCTGTGTCTGTGTCTCTGCGTGTGTCTGTGTGTGTGTCTCTGTGTCTCTCTCTGTGTCTCTGTGTGTCTCTCTGTGTCTGTGTCTCCGTGTGTGTCTCTCTGTGTGTCTCTGTATCTCTCTCTGTGTCTCTGTGTCTCTGTCTCTCTGTGTCTCTGTGTCTCTGTATCTCTCTCTGTGTCTCTGAGTGTCTCTCTGTGTCTATGTGTCTCTATGTGTGTCTCTGTATCTCTCTCTGTGTCTCTGTGTGTCTGAGTGTCTCTCTGTGTCTTTGAGTGTGTCTCTCTCTGTGTCTCTGAGTGTCTCTCTGTGTCTCTGTCTCTCTCTGTGTCTCTGAGTGTCTCTCTGTGTCTCTGTGTCTCTATGTGTGTCTCTGTATCTCTCTCTGTGTCTCTGTGTGTCTGAGTGTCTCTCTGTGTCTCTGTGTCTCTCTCTGTGTCTCTGAGTGTCTCTCTGTGTCTCTGAGTGTCTCTCTGTGTCTCTGTATCTCTCTCTGTGTCTCTGTGTCTCTTGAGTGTCTCTCTGTGTCTCTCTGTGTCTCTGTATCCCTCTCTGTGTCTCTGTATCTCTCTCTCTGTGTCTCTGTGTCTCTGAGTGTCTCTCTGTGTCTCTCTCTGTGTCTCTGAGTAACTCTCTGTGTCTCTCTGTGTCTCTCTCTGTGTCTCTGTATCTCTCTCTGTGTCTCTGTGTCTCTGAGTGTCTCTCTGTGTCTCTGTGTCTCTGAGTGTCTCTCTGTGTCTCTGTGTCTCTCTCTCTGTGTCTCTCTCTCTGTGTCTCTCTCTCTGTGTCTCTCTGTGTCTCTGTGTCTCTCTCTCTGTGTCTCTGTGTCTCCGCGTGTCCACGTAGGAGCGGCTACTTCCACATCTCCCCGTGTGAAGTCACCGCTCCTGGCACGGAGGTTCACATTCAGCTCCGTGGGGAGCATCGGGAGTTCGCTCGCGAGGAGCGAGTCAAAGGTAAAGCTCCCCCAGGTAGCCTCTAGCAGGGCTGTAGGGGCAAGTGCTGTTGGCTAGCGAGTAGCAGTGTCTATGTACTACACACACCACACACACAGACAAAGCTCCCCCAGGTAGCCTCTAGCAGGGCTGTAGGGGCAAGTGCTGTTGGCTAGCGAGTAGCAGTGTCTATGTACTACACACACCACACACACAGACAAAGCTCCCCCAGGTAGCCTCTAGCAGGGCTGTAGGGGCAAGTGCTGTTAGCTAGCGAGTAGCAGCAGCAGTGTCTATGTACTACACACACCACACACACAGACAAAGCTCCCCCAGGTAGCCTCTAG